TAATCCATCAACTATTGAATTTGTCTCATTAGATCATGGTGATACATACAGAGATTTATCTTCTACATATCTTAGATTAAAGGTACAAATTGTTAAAAAAGATGCAAACCATTGGAATAACGACAAATAACAATGAATAATCTTCTATACTCAATAATAAAACAGTGTGATGTTCAATTTAACGGAAAAAGTATTACCCGGTCAGATGGAAATTATCATTACAGAGCATACATTGAATCATTATTAAATTATGGTACGGATGCCGCTACTACTCATTTAGAGTGTGCTGGATGGTGTTTAGATAAACCAAACATAGCAAAACCAGATAATAATGGATCAAAAGAACGTCAAAAACTTTATCACAACAGCAATATCGTAGAGCTAATGGGTAAACTACATTTGGATATGTTTAACCAACCGACTTTTTTAATAAACAACGTTGATGTGAGAATTACAACGTTGATGTAAATGGTGTACAAGTACCAAACACAGCAATTGAAACAAGTTTTTCAGATGAAAATAATTGTCATACTCGTGCACACCATTTTCTGGTACAGGAATTTATCATAATGACAAAGGACATCAAATATCAAAATCTATGTTTAGTAGTGGATTTTTCATCTTTGCTTTCGATTTGACACCAGATGCATCAGGAAATGAGATATGTCAGGGTCTATTTAATCAAGGTACAATTAGAATTGAGGCAAGGTTATCTAAAGCGGAATCATCTGTATTGACTGCTATTGTCTATGGAGAATCTGATGCAAGTGTTGAAATTGACAAAAATAGAAATATTTTCACAAAACCTATAAATAGAACATTTGTATAAATGGTTTTAATATTCAAGATGATGTCATCGTCTTATGCACTTGTTGATATAACGTTTTGTTGTGACGACAAGAATACTTTATTTGTAAAAGATATTTGCTTAGTTGGGATTCAAGAAAAATGCAAAAAAATTGTAAAGGAGTTTTCTTACAAATTTCCAACTAAGGAACTAATATATGAAAATTTTGAAAACTATTCGTTTGGAACTTTGATTAATGACAATATAAGCTATGAACTTAAAGAAATATTAAAAAAATTCAATGTGATATTGACTAACGGAAAAATCAAAAAAGATTTCATTTCGCATTACATTAAAGAAAACAGTACAGTTTATGATTTAAGTGAATTAAATTTATGAATACTTTAGATATTATAAAATATTTAAATTGCAATAAATATACAAGAAAAAAATTTAGAGGTGTATTTGCTTTAGATCAAATACCAAAAAACCTTGAAAGATCTTCTCTTATAATTATAAATGCTGATAAAGCAAAAGATCCTGGTTGTGTTGAATACTTTGATTCTTATGGAGGTTTACCAAATAAAAAGGAAATTTTAAGGTTTTTAAAAGATAAATGTATTGTTTTCAATGACAAACAATTACAAAGCACCTTTTCAGAAGTTTGTGGAGAATACTGTTGCGTGTATGCATGGTATAGATGTTTTGGTATAAGTATGAATAATTTTTTACGTGAATTTAAGAAACGCAACCATATTAAAAATGATCAAATAGTTTTAAGAAAATTTCACAAAATATTTGGAAAGCAGAATATTCAGACATGTGTTTCTAGAAATCATGTTATATAAAAGATGAAATGTCTCAATTAAAATGTTTAAAAACAGACAGCTAAATCAGCACTACTTAATCAGTGTTTCTTAAAACATGTTGTTGTACTTATACGTATACTTATTTTTTAAACAAAACACATACTGTAAAAGTAGTAATAGGATTCCACGTAGAATTATTAGAAGCAACCATTTCAATATACCGTATTGGAAAAAAGGAAATTTTTATAAATTATGAAGATTGGGTGGAATTTTATCAGCAATTTTAAACAAAGTATAAAAAAAAATTTATAAATAACAAGGTCTCTTGTCTACAATTTGAAATAAAAACAAAAAATTTACAAACTTTCGTGTTAAGGAGCGAAGAGATGGATGAATTTCATATCCTAATTGATTTTATTCATGTGGTAATGGATTACAAACACAAGGCTGAAGAAGGTGTAAAAGACTATGTAAGGAAATATATAAGACAATGTGTAGAAAACAATGAAATCATACTAAAAAGTGAAATTTATATTCCATTAGATCGATTTAACTTTCAATGTAATTATTCTAGATTGTTTTATGAAATTCCGTTTTTATTTAAAAATAAGATAAAAAAATATTTAGAAATAAATAAAAGCACTATGCTACTAGACTAATATGTTACTTGTATTTTATTTTATTTTTTCTTTTATTTACATTATTTTTGTGTTATTTAAAACATGAGTAATTGTAAAAATAATAAAAAGCAAACATAAAAATACCATATATTGCATAAGACATTTATAGCAATTCCAGCAAAATGAATTTGGTATCTGAATTGGTTCTTCTTCATTATTGAACATAATTGAAACCCCATCCCCTCTTGGTGATTGAGTATCCATTTTATTTCTTTAGTAAAACTGGAAAATTCGTTACAGTTATGCTGCTACGATTATAAATTGATGTATACTAAAGTTTTTTATTTGAATCATGCTTAAATATAAAAATACTGACTTTGTTCATTTTATTGAGCTGCAACGGCTTATATAAATAATCGAATCCTTTTTATTTTTCTTATTTTAAAAATGGATGTCAACGAGTTTTTAAATGTATATGATTCTGTTATTTTGGAAGAACATAAGAATCAAATTTTATATTTAAACAATTACTTAAAAACATTTAAACATAAATTACAATTAACTAGTTCGATACACGGAAGCCATTTTACTATTTGCCCTTGGGCGTACGACGATACTACATCTGGACCAGATACTTGTGAATGCTATACAATAAAAAAATACAAAATTAAAGTTGCAAAATTGATTGACTGGTATAAAAAAAATGTCAAAATCTCAAATAGTATCGGAGATACATAGACCAGCTAGAAAACGATATCTCAGAAGAAAATTCAAACAAAAGGGAATAAATGATACGTGGCAAATAGATTTAGTTGAAATGATACCCTACGCTAAATTCAATAGAGGATATAAATACATGTTAACAGCTATAGATATATTTTCAAAATATGCTTTCGCAGAACCTGTAAAAACAAAAAATGCTGAAAATGTTTTAAACTCTTTAAAATTAATAATTAAAAGATCAAAATCAATTCCCAAAAATATTCAATCTGACGAAGGCAAGGAGTTTCTTAATTCAAAATTCCAAAATTATATGAAAGAAAAAGCAATTAATCGTTATCACACATTCAGCGAAATGAAAGCATCAATTGTCGAAAGATTTAATAGAACATTAAAAAATATGATGTGGAAAACCTTTAGTTTAAATGGAAATTATAAATGGTTACATATTTTATCATCATTAATACAGAAGTATAATTCAACAAAACATAAGAAAATAAAAATTTCACCTGAAGAAGTTACAAAGAAAAATGAACAATATTTATTAAGAAATATCTATATAGAACCTAAAATTTTTCAAAAAAGTAAATATAAAATCGGTGATTACGTAAGGATAAATAAATACAAAAAGCATTTGAAAAAGGTTATCAACCTAACTGGTCTACAGAGATTTTTAAAATCGCTAAAGTAAATAAAACATATCCCACTACATATCAATTAGTTGACTATAAAGACAATACTATTTCTGGTGGTTTCTATAACGAAGAACTTACTTCTGTTAAATATCCTGATGCTTACCTAGTAGAAAAAATTATTAAAAAACAGGGAAATAAAGTTTTCGTAAAATGGTTGGGGTTCAGCGACGATCATAATACATGGATCAATAAAGATAGTATTATTTAAAACATAGTACATATTATATACATAGTCTTATTTTTCGACCTTTGTACAATAATAAAAATTGAAGAAAGTAATTCTTTTGTTTGTTTTTCTTTTATTTTTTAGTTTATTTTTATATTTTTATATTTTACAAATTTATTTTTGTTTTAACCTCTTATATCCGTAAGGAAGGGAGCTACCATCTACAGCAAAGTTGCGTTTTTCTGATTTCGGTTGATATACTTTTACTTGCGGAACCGTTAGTACTTTGTGTTCTTTGTTGCGCCCAATATTTTGTGATAATATATAAATTTCGTTGTCTGCTTTCGGGTTTAACACAGATTCTTTGATTGTGTTAAAATTAATTTTTTGTGAAGCTTCATAATTTAAACAAAAACCCTTAACTTTACATATAATTTTTTCTTCTTTATCTTTTGTACTATATACTTTAAATGAGTAATTTTTGGGGCCACCGCTTACAAATTCTGTTATGTAGCTATCTTTACCATAACATTCTAACTCATCTGTCATGTCACCAATAAAATTTCCTACTGAATGTTCATAGTCCCCTTTACGACTGATATACACTACGGAATCAGTATCGTAATATAAGACTCTTTCTTGAAGTTTTTCTAAGTAACTGTACAGTTTTAATCGCGCCTGAGTTGTTGTGTAAGCAGCAATACACACATTTACTGTTGGTAAGGAATCCATTACTTCTTCCTTGTACTGCCAATTAACTATAATGTTTTCTTCATTTACCGGAAAAATATAACAAACTTCTATAGATGGGTTTGTTAACAGGTTGTACAATTCTTTAGGCTGGTTTATGATTGATGTTTTTTGTAAATTTTCTCTTTGACCAAATTTGCCCCAAAATGAATTTAACATTAATTTGGCAAATGATCTTAAGCCAGGATTGTTGGAAACCTTTTCATGCTCCAATTGAATATCTTTTTTATCAAAAAAATCTTTAACATAGTTTTCTTTTTCGTTATTACTGACACATTTAGATGGCCAGCCTGAAGCTTCTTGTTTAATTTTAATAAATTTGTTTATCATATTTGTAAATAAGCCCCGTGTATCCATGTTTTTATCATATTTTGCAGTTTAGTATTCCCAAACTTCATAAATTTCTAACATTTTATAACCTTTTTGAATAGCTTTTACAACTTCGTCAATTACCTATGTTCCTATTAAAGCTCTTTCCTCGTCTGAATGTGGACAACATTCTTCAAGCCATTTTTCTTCACTACAACTTCGACATAATGAAAACATTAACTTGTTGTTTTGTTTTAGTGGGAGAACGGGATGTAGTAAGTTCGTTGGTGGTAAAATTTTACATTTAAGAATTCGGTCCATGTTATTTAGTTTTAGAGTAGAACAAATACTTTCCCCGACATAAATTTGCGGGTGACCAATAGGAAATTTTCCGTACTTGCAAACCCAAGCGTATAACGAGCAAATGTCTATATATTTTATTTTTTCTTCCTCTTTACATTTATAATAGTTGTAGACATTTCCTGTTCGTCCTCCATAAAAAGCATCTCGAGGATTCAATGGTGCATGTTGCACTAACGGATGATTTTTTAAATAACTTGCTTCTTCTTTACTAATTAATGAATTAAATTCACATTGCCACATTTCAATAACATCGTAACCTAATTTTCGTAATCTTTCAGCTTTTTTAATAGTTCTTTCATACCTCGTGTTCATTGTATCATTTGAATCGTCTTGCAAACTGTTATTTCGGTTATGTGGTATACAAGTAGGGTGTCCATGATAATAACAACTGTAAAATCCAAAAACTTGATTAGTTTCTGAACAAAAACCGTCCACTTTTATACCGTTAACAAATGATTCTTTCTGTTTTGTTGTATGTCTGATGTTAATATTTCTTTTTTCTTCTTCCCATACTAACCATTGAATAGCCATTTTTGATTGATTGTCTGAGTTTCTGTATCCATGTTTAGGAATTAATCTAATTGTGTCCTCTTTTAAAAAATTTCTTCTAAATGCAAGATTGCATGCAGATGCAATTGTTGTTGCTTCTAGAAATGGTTCAACATTACACTGCTTCAAGAACATTTCTCTGAATTTTAAACAAGATTGTGTTAAAATGGTAACGTCATTGACACAGTATTCAATCATTTCTTTTTTAATGTTAAACATTTTATTTTTATTTTCTTCATACCATTTTAAGAAGGTTTCACGCTCATCTACTTTCATGTCGTTTGGATTGTAATATTCTACAGAGGGTAATTGCACAATATAATTTTCATTTTTCGCTGTGTTAAAAAGATGCGGAAAATACCCTTTCTTCATATTAAATTGTAGATCAAAAGCTTTTGGTAATTTCGACAAAGCCATTGGAAAATAATTTAACGAATCTATAAATTTTATATTTCCCAATAGCATCATTATTACTTTTGTACTCCTCATTATCAGTTTAGTAAGGATGTTTTTTTCTAAAATAAAATTCAAAATAAACTGATGATCGAAAGCTTGTCCATTGTGTGCAATTACTATAATATTTTTAAACTTTTTTCTCATTTCCAATATGTAGTTAAGAAAAGTTTCTATAATATTTCCTTTTTCAATTATTTTTCTTCTAATTTTGCAATTTGCGCATAAATATAAAGATACAATATCAATACACTGATCGCACCTTTGCTTAAAAACACATAAAGTTGTTTCATGTTGTTTAATGACTGTTTTATTATTATACCCGTACGAACGTATGTTCGAAGGGTATACTAAATTTGCCTTACCGTTTGTAACGCTAAGAAATAACGGTCTTAGATATAGACTCAAGTGTATGTTTTTGATCAGCGTCAAATTCTGAGTTGATTTAGCTTTGTCTGTCCGTCCGTCCGTCCGTCCGTCCGTCCGTCCGTCCGTCCGTCCGTCCGTCCGTCCGTCCGTCCGTCCCAACGATAACTCAAAAACTAATTGAGCTAAATTCACCAAATTTTCACAAATGATTTATTGTACTAAGTGCCAGAACCCTATTTAAATTGGACAAGATCGGAGTACCGGTTCGGGTAGCTGCCATACAACTTCAAAATTTATTTGGATATATCTCAGAAACTATAAAAGCTATGATATTGAAATTTCACACAAATGAATATATTAATAGGGCCAATGTGTCTGATAAAAGTCGTTGAAATTGCTTGGCTCCTTCTGGTACCTGCCATACAACTTCAAAAGTTATTTGTCTATATCTCAGGAACTATAAAAGTTATGGTATTGAACTTTCACACAAACAAATATATTAGCAGGGCCAATGTGTCTCATAAAAGTCGTTGAAATTACTTGGCTCCTTCTGGTACCTGCCATACAACTTCAAAAGTTATTTGACTATATCTCAGAAACTATAAAAGCTATGGTATTGAAATTTCACACAAGCGAAGATATTAGTAGGGCCAATATGTATGGTAAAAGTCGTTGAAATTACTTGGCTCCTTCTGGTACCTGCCATACAACTGCAAAAGTTATTTGGCTATATCTCAGAAACTATAAAAGCTACGGTATTGAAATTTCACACAAGCGAATATATTAGTAGGGCCAATATGTCTGATAAAAGTCGTTGAAATTTCTTGGCTCTTTCTGGTAGCTGCCATACAACTTCAACAGTATTTTGGCACAGACAGTATTTTGAAAAACACATTGTACTGAAATTTTGCATAAATTAATATACGGCAACTCCATAGTCAGTTATGGCATCTTTATTCGCACATAGGATAACAAATTCGTACGGGTATCACAGAGTTGACAAGGTCAACTCTATTTTTTTCTCGTTTTTTACAAGTTTTTCTTCAAAAATTTTTTCTTGTTTTGTTTCTAAATCATAAAAAATGAACAAGAAATTTTTTAAATTGGGTTGATTTTTATTTGGTTGGATATAACATAAATTATTACTTTCCACGTACTTATTGCATATTTTACAAAAATATTCACCACAAATGTGCTGTTTATCTTTTTTGTAGACCTTTAAACATTTGAAACATTTATGTATTAGTTCGCAAATACTTATTGTAGTTGAACTAGAACTTTTGTGGTTATCAAAACATTCTTGACCATTAAATTTTCTGTTACAATCATTACACATAATATTTTTCAAATTTTTATCACATGGTGGTGATTTTTGACAACACGGGCATGATCCAGTACATTATACTATGTCCATTTTTGTTATTATACGCTACATGACAACTTTTACAATAATATATACAACTGAATGCTGCTGTAAGTGACGTAATCACGTTGTAATGGTTTTTGTGAAATAAAAGATTTAATTTTTTCCCTGTTCCTAATCCTTCAAATATTACATCTTTTCCTTTTGTACCATATTTATATACTATTATTTTGTAATTAGATAGATGTTTTTGAAATTTGCTTAGTTCGATGACCCAGCAGCCTTTGCTAGGAATTGGAAGACCTGCATTTTCAATAAGTTCTGTGGCTTTTTTCGTTTGCAATTTTGAATTACTTTTATTATTTGTTTATAATCTACAGATTTTTGGACTTGATGAATCGCTACAATTAAAGCTCGAGGCAAGCATAAATTATCTCTGTTTGAAATTGTAATAACTCCTCTACGGTCTGCATTCGTCATCAAAATTTGTGTATTTTAAAGTTTTACCGGTTCCTTGTGGTAATTTAACACATGTTGCTGTTATACAAAATTTATCAGAGCTTAAAAGAAAAAACTATAATGCATATAATTGTATTTGATTATGGAAGATTTTATATGCTCAGTTTTTGTAAAAATACTCTTTGAATTTTCTAAATATTCAACAGTCGCATTTCTATTATCAAGAAAAAATATATATCAATATCTAATAGAAATGGAATCGCTTGACTTGACCTATGAAGAAAGCCAAATTTTGATGGCTGCCCCAAAACGAAAAAGGGTGAGTCATCAAAAGGCAGAGCTGAATGAACAACAACAACCGCAAAAACAACAGCAACAGCAACAATATCATCAACAACAACAAGACAGCATCCAAATTTTGGATTGTTTTTCAATTGGGTTTGATGAATCTCAGGCCCAAAAAGAAAAGGAGGATCCAGATATGAATCTCATACGTATTTTTAACAGTCAAGCCGTTGTTAAATAATACTTAACGGTTCAATAAATGGACCGAAATGAAAACTATTGAGTTTTGAAGAAAAATTGAGTAGAAATACAAAAAAACCATATTGGGTGTTTGTCACCCAAAATAATTACATTTTCATGCCTAAAAATTACGTCAGGATTTTTAAATTAAATAAAAATTACCTTCATTTGGTGAATTCAGGGAAACTCATCATAAAAACAACAGATAATAAAAATATAAAATTGTCAAAAATATAAACAATTTTGATTAAGTATTTAAGGAATTTAATTTTTTTTGTTCAAGAACGAAAATAAAAATAAGTAAAATGAAAGATTTGTATTTTATTTCAACTTTCAGGTATTTTTTTATTTTCCTAGGTTTTTTTTTAATTTTTTCAGATATGGGTTATGGTCGAAATAAATTTCAATTACAATAAAAATAATTATGTGTTTTTAAATGTTTCATAATTTTCCTTTTTCCATAGGTTTAGATTTTATATTATGAAATCTGTTGCTTCCATAAGAAAAAAGAACAACATTTAAATCTATTTTTTTTGTTGTTTTTCAACATACAAATAACCACAATATACCTAGTACCAGGCTCTCAGAAAATTAAAAAAATACGACATTTTTAATATATGAGTTAAAAAGATGCTTTATTTTTTTTTTCTTCATTCTGCTTTTATAAAAACAACAATCAAAACCAGATCATTTAAAATTACTTTTCTTTACATATCACTTTTAAGCCTCCAACATTTTTTTTCTTGTTTTACGAAGAATCGAACAAGAATTTCATTCCTTCTATTTCCTAAACTTAACCTTGAGTAACTACATATATATGAATGGATATGTATGTTATGCATCATAAAATGCATTGAAATATTTCTTTTTACCTTTTAATGCGAAAAATTAAACAATAGAAGCAAAACAAAAGAAGAAAAGCAATACAAGATGTAATTAATCATAAGATATAAATAAATGTTATCTTATTGCATTTTTATACACTCTTCTTCAAAATAATAAAAAAGTTGCAGTAGTAGTATTCTTACACATGGTACCTATATAAAAATAATACTACTTTTTTCATGATATCCCGTTAACATTATTTATAAAAACATTTTTTTAATTTAAATTAAAACTTGCTCGACGATACCAACGCCATACAACTCCTCGAATCAACAACAATCAAAGGGTCATGACATACTTACACATCAATCATGCAAAGTCTCAAGTACGCTGAACTCGGACAAGTAAACAACTTGCTTTGCAACCTTTGACCTACTTTATAGTTCATTGACCTGGCGGCCACCTCAGCTACGTACATTCATATGTACATAGGTCATGACACATTTAAACAGGTCATCTACCATTACCAAGAAATAAACGACCCGTTATAAAGGTCATGACACACTTAAAAAAACTTCCGCCATTAACTAAAACTTGCTCGACGATACCAACGCCATACAACTCCTCTATGAACTCGAATCAACAACAATCAAAGGGTCATGACATACTTACACATCAATCATGCAAAGTCTCAATTACGCTGAACTCGGACAAGTAAACAACTTGCTTTGCAACCTTTGACCTACTTTATAGTTCTTTGGCCTGGCGGCCACCTCAGCTTCGTACATTCATATGTACATGGGTCATGACACACTTAAACAGGTCATCTACCTATACCAGGAAATAAACGACCCGTTATACAGGTCATGACACACTTTAACAGGTCATCCACCTATACCAGGAAATAAGAAAGTGAAAGTGGGGCGTGCGATATGGGCTGATTTTTTCCCAGCACAAAGACACCCAATACCTACCGGGTGTAGTAAACATACAAAAATTAATTTTTCAAATCAAGAAAAGGTTTACTCAAAAACAAAATAATAATTTTATTCACATATACATAAGTATGTATACATGAATGTTTTAGAATTGAAGATTTTAAAATTTTTTGTTCCAACATATGAACGTATGTACATATGAATGTATTAGAATTGAAAATTTTGAAATTTTCTGTTGGAACAATTAGAAATAAAATTATAAATATAAACATACATAATTATGAAACAATACCTGTTTTTTTAAAACTGTGGGTGAACATATAGGATTAAATTTTTTAAATAAAGAAAGAGTTTACGCAAAAACAAAATAATAATTTTATTCATATATGTGTATGTACATATGAATGGATTAGAATTTAGCATTTTACAGTTTTTCGCTCGAACAATAAAAATAAAATTTTAGGTAGATACATACGTACATAAATTGTGTATATATATTTTTTTAAAGCTTGCTGACGAAACATAATATTCAAAACAATATTAAATGAAGTATTAATATTCAGTTGACACAAAACATTTGATGTCTTTTATAAAACCTGACATCTATTTAAGTTTATTTCGGTTTTTCGAACTTAAAAAATATGTGAGATCATTATATTCTCGAATATTATTTATTTCTCGTTCTCGGTTTGTGTTTCTAATAATAACGAGAAAAAAATAGAGTTGACCTTGTCAACTCTGTGATACCCGTACGAATTTGTTATCCTATGTGCGAATAAAGATGCCATAACTGACTATGGAGTTGCCGTATATTAATTTATGCAAAATTTCAGTACAATGTGTTTTTCAAAATACTGTCTGTGCCAAAATACTGTTGAAGTTGTATGGCAGCTACCAGAAAGAGCCAAGAAATTTCAACGACTTTTATCAGACATATTGGCCCTACTAATATATTCGCTTGTGTGAAATTTCAATACCGTAGCTTTTATAGTTTCTGAGATATAGCCAAATAACTTTTGCAGTTGTATGGCAGGTACCAGAAGGAGCCAAGTAATTTCAACGACTTTTACCATACATATTGGCCCTACTAATATTTTCGCTTGTGTGAAATTTCAATACCATAGCTTTTATAGTTTCTGAGATATAGTCAAATAACTTTTGAAGTTGTATGGCAGGTACCAGAAGGAGCCAAGTAATTTCAACGACTTTTATGAGACACATTGGCCCTGCTAATATATTTGTTTGTGTGAAAGTTCAATACCATAACTTTTATAGTTCCTGAGATATAGACAAATAACTTTTGAAGTTGTATGGCAGGTACCAGAAGGAGCCAAGCAATTTCAACGACTTTTATCAGACACATTGGCCCTATTAATATATTCATTTGTGTGAAATTTCAATATCATAGCTTTTATAGTTTCTGAGATATATCCAAATAAATTTTGAAGTTGTATGGCAGCTACCCGAACCGGTACTCCGATCTTGTCCAATTTAAATAGGGTTCTGGCACTTAGTACAATAAATCATTTGTGAAAATTTGGTGAATTTAGCTCAATTAGTTTTTGAGTTATCGTTGGGACGGACGGACGGACGGACGGACGGACGGACGGACAGACAAAGCTAAATCAACTCAGAATTTGACGCTGATCAAAAACATACACTTGAGTCTATATCTAAGACCGTTATTTCTTAGCGTTACAAACGGTAAGGCAAATTTAGTATACCCTTCGAACATACGTTCGTACGGGTATAAAAAGTATTATTTTATTTATTTTCTAGTAATATGAAGTATAAAAGAAAAAGGTGCTTTTGTTATACAAAAATTTTTTCAGAAAATCTTAAAATAGAGCTATTTCGTGGCTAAAAAGTTCCAATGTCAGATTTTTCTGGGACACTGGAGGCAAAACCCTATCTAATGCTTTTTGTCCCATGTCTCTAGCCCTTCTAGAAGTACCCGTACTTTTTGCCACCTGAGAAGTAGCTATATATATATAACTAGTCGTGTGTGCTTGCATTGCAAGCCTTGGAAGAATTATTTCTGTAGTTTTGAAATTGTGTTCCATTCTGTAGCTGAGATATTTTAAGTTTATTTTATTTCTTTAAAAAGACACCCGTAATATACATATAGATATGTTTTTTCCTAATAAATAATAAGATAAAACTTAAAATAAGAAAAGTTCTGAAAAATAATTCCCCAAAAATACATAAAACCAATAACTACTTCCTTTGAGATCTAATACCTTTTGAGTAATTAATTTTAGAACCTCGCTTTAAGTTATATCTCATAAAATCGTAAAATACCTTTTACAATAAGCACTTTAAGAGATAAATTATTGTATACGCATAAAATAATTCGCTACTAAAATGCATGCATGTATGTATTTGAAGTTTATAATACTTGCGAATAAAACGTGTGACTGTAGAATGAGTCAATACCAATACCAAGGTATATAGGGTAATGCGTAT